AGCCTGAACTACATAGGGAGATCTTATCTCAACCACAAAAACAACAAAAAAAATCAACTCAAAATGCATCAAAGACAGATATGAGAGCCAAAATTATGAAACTGCTAGAGGAAAGCATGGGGATGAGAACCATGAGAGTGGTTTAGGCGATGACTGTTTGGCTATGATCATAAAAGCACAGACAACAAAAGAAATAAATTAAGACAAATGAGATTATTTCAAACTAAAAAGCTTCTGCACAGCAAAGGAAATCTCTACACAGCAAAAGAAACAATGGAGTTAAGAGACAATGAACGGAAGAAAATACCTGAAACCTACATATCTGATAAGGAGTTAATATCCACATACTAAGGAATTTAATAACGACAGCAAGAAAATAAATCATCTGAATTAAAAAATATTATAGGCAGGGCCTAGGATTTAGCTCAGTGGGCACCGCACCTGCCTTGCAAGCACAAAGTCCTGAGTTCAATCCCTGGTACCAAAAAACAAACAAACAAACAAAAAAATCCAATTTAAAAATGGATAAATGCCAGGCACAGTGTCGCACACCTATAATCCTAGCACTCGGGAGGCTGAGGCAGGAGGTTCACCCTGAGTTCGAGAACCAGCTTGGACTACATAGTGAGTTCAGGGCCAGCTTGAACTGCAAAGTGAGACCCTGCCTCAAAAAAGACAAAAAAAAATGGATAAAGGACCCAATAAGACATTTCTTAAAAGACTTGCAAATGGGCAAATAGGTATGTGAGAAAATGCTCAACATCACCAATCATAAAGAAAATGTAAATCAAAACCACAATGAAATATCACCTCACACTTTTCAGAATGGCTATTATCAAAAAGACAAAAGATAACAAGTGTTAGTGAGAATGTGGAAAAAAAGAATCCTCACACACTGTTGGTAAAGAATGTAAATTATGGAGGTTCCTCAAAAGATAACATATAGAACTACCACACAACCCAGCAATCCCAGGAATGAACAGGCATTCAAAAAAAAAACCAAAATGATCATGTCAAAGAGATATCTGTACTCCCATGTTTATTGCAGCACAATTCGTAACAGCCAAGACCTAGACTCCATGCCCATCAGTAGATGACAAGACTCTGGGTTTGATCCCCAGCATTTAAAAAAAAACGTGAATGGACAAAGACAATGTGCTATACACACAGTAGATATGACTCAGCCACTAAAATGGAGGAAGGCTTGTCATTTGTACAAGAGATGAACCTGGAAGACATTATGTTAAGTGAAATAAGTTAGGCAACGATAGACAAAAACCGTATGATTTCATTCATGTAGAATCTAAAAAATATGTTGATTTCAAAGACGCACAGAGTAGAACTGTGGTTACCAGAGGTTAGGGTGGTGGTGGTTTATGTGTGAGGGGAATGTTACCCAAAGTTTACAAGAGTTTCAATTTAAAGAGGGAGAATAAATTCAAGAGACCTAATGTATGGTAGGGTGACTACAGTTAATAATATACTGCATTCTTGAAAAAAATGCGGAGAATGAATATAAAGAATTTTCATTGCAAAAATGATCACTATGTAAAGTAATATATGTATATATCTATATATATACATATATTACTTGTCTAGATTTAGTCATTCTAACTTCAAAATACCATGTTGTATGTGATAAATATAATTTTTATCTGTCAATTTAAAACAATAAAAATCTAAATTTAAAACATGATATTTAGATCTTCCATGATGAAGTGAATGAATCCTGATAAGTACACAGTGGTAAAACTTTTCAATCTCTAAACATTACTAACATGCACAAATATTAAGTTTCTCATTTAAATATTTTAGAACACCAAGGTGTATGATATAGTTGAGGAAATTCTCTAACATGAATGACAGATTCCAAAGCAAACCACAGAAAAAATATGAAAAACAGAAAAAAACTAAAAATGAAAAAAACCCCACATATCTTTAGACTGATCAGAAAAGATTGCTGGGCATGATGGCACATGACTGTAATCCTAGCAATCTAGGAGGATGAGACAGGTCTCAGCATTACAAATTCAAGCCCAGACTGGGCAACTTAGCAAGACTCTGTCTCAAAATAAAAAATATAAAAGGGCTAGGGATGTCACTCAGTACAAAAGATCTAGATTCAACACCCAGTACCAAAAAAGAAAAGATATGCTCTATGCAATAAAATCATTTCATTAAAAACATCGAGAGAATAAAAATTTATAGAACTTTTCACACACAATACACATATACATGCCAAGGTGGGATTAGCACATCCAGTAAATTTTATTCTCTGAATATCTATAGCTATACCTTATCTATCTAATATCTCTTGTATCTCTCCAATAGAGGAGGTAAAAATAAGGTTAAATCTTCCAGAGAGGAAACAAAACACAAGGATGAAAAATAGGAAAAATTAGAAGTACTGAGAAAAAGATACTCAAAGCTCTTGTAAGGAAAAGGTAGATCACATACAAAACAAATCCGGTATCTGAACAACAAAAAGAAGAGCTAGAAGAGTACTTTTATGCTTCTGGTGGATATTTGGAATGTATCATGAGTAAAGAGCTGGGATTAAAAATGAGGCAATTTTTTAACTTCCAAACAAATGTGATCACAGTGCACTATATGGCTAAGCTGTGAATAACAGCCTTAGATATAAACAGTGATTTGATTTACCTAAAAATGGTGATAGAACTACATAGAGAACATAAGAAAATGTGTGTCTCTAAGAAGTGTTTTTTGCAATCATAGATACCACAAATGCACAAACTAGTTTAAACAAACTGAAATTTGTAACTTTGGTTTTAAGTATTATTTCCTTTTAGAAGGCCAGGGATTTGGCTCAGTGATTCTGCCGCTTGCCTTGCAAATGCAAAGTCCCAAGTTTGTACCAAACAATAAACAAACAAACAAACAAATAAATAATTTCCTGTTAGAAACACCCTAGGATTAAAATACATATTAGCTTTACTATATTTAAGATCTCAAAGACTAATTTCATTAGACTCTGGCAAGTACTTTCTGTCTGGGAAAGGTAAAATCATGAAAATTCACAGCAGATTATCCACTTCACTGGGAAAAATGGGGACATTTTGTATTCTGCTTCTATAATGTCAGCAGAATCTTTTATTTGGTGGATATTTTATGAAACGCCCAGTATGATGGTACACTGAGGATAGGAAGGGGGAGGGCAACAAAGTTCTCATAATTGAAGATCATGATTAATATTAAAATTTTAAAGTGTGTTGATTCAAATGGAGGGCAGCAAAATCTCAAACCATACTCAAAAGTCTACTCTTTCGCTGTTTATGTAGAAGAACAGCAGTCTTTTAGATATTTGGAAGAAAAAAGAACCAGTCTATAACCAGTTTTTTTAATCATTTTTTTGTTTCCCCATGATAATATTTCTTAAATCATTATTGCCTGATGCCATCATTCCTTACTCACAAGACAGGATAATTTTGAGAAAGAGTTTGTTTTTCACATTGCACTCTTTTCTCCTTTCTGGCCCTGTGATGAGAGAATCTTGGTGCTTCCCTGCCTGGGAGGAGAATATGTGGCAAGTTTGAAAGCAAAAAGCTCTTGCAAGACACCTCTTTTACTGGCTTTTGTTTTCATGAAGCTTGAATTTCCAGAATGTGTTGTACAGGAGGGAGGAAAAGACAAAATTTGATAGGGAATATTAGAGTGGAAACTGAAGAATTTCATATACAAATTACCATTGTTTCTCTTCTGCATGAATGGAGGATAAGCAAAATTGTGGAGTAACCTGTTAGAGTAACTTTCTTAGCTTGGAAGAAAAGAAGAATGCTGATACTGATCACCAAAACAATAAAGCTGAGTAGCTTAATTAAGTGTTGACAGGCAGAAGAGGATAATTAATTCCACTTCTGGAATGGTATATTTCAGGTTATAGCATAGAATCCTAAACAAGATGGCCTATAAGCACATGGATAAATGGGAATGTCACACAGATAAAAAGGTCAAGTTTGTGGATAAGAGATTCTAGCAATGGCCGAAGAAACAATTGCACAGGTCACAGAGAAGAGGGATGAGGGTAGAGCCTTTGGTGACACTGCTGCAAAGGTCAAAAACTATTTGGTGTCCCTGCCACATCCAGTCCACCAGTCATATTTTACTTAGATCACATGTTTAAATTATTATTAAAGTAAGCCAGGTGTGGTGGTGTACACCTGTAATCCCAGCACTCAGAGGCTGAAGCAGGAGGATCATGAGTTCGAGGCCAGCCTGAAATACACAGTGAGACACTGTCTCAAAAATTTTTGTAAAAAATTACTATTAATGACCAATTTTATTTGATCCTTAAAATTAGAGATTTAAATGAACTCTGAATTATGCTTTTTCTGGAAAACAGACTTTCCAGGGTTGGGCCTACACTCTTCTGTGGAGGAAGCTGAATAGACACTGCTACCTTCACATGGGTTGTTTGGGCAGTTGGATAGCGTCTTCACCCACTTTACAGGGGCAAATGTGAAGTTAGATTCTCTTCTCGACCAGATTCTAGCCAGTTTCTTTCGAGGTCTTTCTCAGCTAGGCCTCAACTTGAGACTAGAAAGACTTGAACAAAATACTAACACAGCTTCTAACAGCAGGATGCCCATAGTTTCCTTAAAAGTATTTTCCTCAAAAAACTCAAGACTAGCAAAACAATATATATATATTATATGTAGCAGGAAATGCCAGAGAATAGGTCCACTGTCTCCTAACCTCTGTGATAGGGAAGGAGCCTTTACTTCTCTAAGAACCAGTTAACAAATCCCAAGGATTCCACACAGACCGCCCCCATACAACACATACTTCCTGCTTTTCAAATTTTTTCACATCCCTGACTCTACTAGGACCCAAGTCATCTCCCTTTGCATTCCCTCATTCTTCCTTTAAAATACCAATTCTTTCTGTACAAATGAGAGTTCAGATCACTCAGACTCTTCCCCATTGCAGTAGCATAGTACTTATTAAAATAGGAATTTACAGCCAGGTGTGGTGGCACTTACCTGTAATTCCAGCACTCTGGGAGGCTGAGGCAGGAAGTTTACAAACTCAAGCCGTGCCTGGGCACTTCAGCAACATGGTGAGACTTTGCCTTAAACAAAAAAGGACTAAAGATGTAGCTTAGTGCCAAGGCTCTGGGCTCGATCCCCAGCACCACACCTCCCCCCAAAAATCTAAGCTTACCACTTTTAACGAGGGTCAGCTTTATTCTTGAAAGGACCAGTGATGAACAGGAATGAAATAAGGTGTCAGGTTTGGTTGTTTCCTTCCTTCAGGGAAACTGAGAGAAAATAAATCAATGATATAAGATGATGAACACTGGTAGAATCTGGGTATAGGAATTGGAAAAATTTTAGTATGGAAACAAAAATTTTGTTTTGGGGAGGGAGTTGTTTCCTTCTGAAATTATAAAGATATCGATGTAATAAGAAATAAGATGAAGAGTAGTAGGACCAGAGGAGTGAGGTAGAAAAATCTACCCTGTACTCATCAGATTGAACTAACAGGTGAAGCAGCTACAAATGAACAGAAAATAGTACTACTTTCTCTCAAGGATGTGCTACATCCACAGTGTCACAACTTCTTTTGAATGACTCCTGGTTTCTTACTGAAAAACTTGGCTAATATCATAGTCTATCAGAAACTGCTGTTGAATTACATCAGTAAGGATAAAACAGTGGCCTCTTGCCTGGAGGACGCAGAGGAAGCCTGGATTTCCACGGCTCTTGGATTAGCTTCAAAAAAAGGGTTTCTGAAAACATTATGAGGTAGAAAAATCTACCCTGTACTCATCAGATTGAACTAACAGGTGAAGCAGCTACAAATGAACAGAAAATAGTACTACTTTCTCTCAAGGATGTGCTACATCCACAGTGTCACAACTTCTTTTGAATGACTCCTAGTTTCTTACTGAAAAACTTGGCTAATATCATAGTCTATCAGAAACTGCTGTTGAATTATATCAGTAAGGATAAAACAGTGGCCTCTTGCCTGGAGGACACAGAGGAAGCCTGGATTTCCACGGCTCTTGGATTAGCTTCAAAAAAAGGGTTTCTGAAAACATTCTGCATCTGTATTAACAACTTTGTAATATTCAAGGAAATCTGATGTTGATGCCTTTATTGGTAGTACTGCTTTGCTTGGAGCCTCTCAAAACACTGCTTCATTTAGACTTGACCTAAACTCCATACATTCCCCCAACTTCCGAAGTTTCTTACTGAAAAACTTGGCTAATATCATAGTCTATCAGAAACTGCTGTTGAATTATATCAGTAAGGATAAAACAGTGGCCTCTTGCCTGGAGGACACAGAGGAAGCCTGGATTTCCACGGCTCTTGGATTAGCTTCAAAAAAAGGGTTTCTGAAAACATTCTGCATCTGTATTAACAACTTTGTAATATTCAAGGAAATCTGATGTTGATGCCTTTATTGGTAGTACTGCTTTGCTTAGAGCCTCTCAAAACACTGCTTCATTTAGACTTGACCTAAACTCCATACATTCCCCCAACTTCCGTTGTAACTCCCCCCTTTTCCTTTGAGATGCTTCACGGTTCCTCTGGTGTGAGCGCTTCTGCGCTGCAGCGGATCAATGGACCTCAATCTATACAAGCTATGGGTTCATTTCTGCAGGGATCAGGATGCTTGGGTAAGCACAAGGGTCACTGGAGGTTTTCAAAGTCCAATTATTCATTTTTCAAACAAAACCTGCGGGTCGAAGGGTTTCTGATTGTCACTGCAGTTCTTCGACGCACTTTAGAGCCACTTCCATGCAAAGAACCTTTATGGTAGCCTTCTCTGAAAGCAGAATGCGAAGTTTTCTTAGACAGGGAACCCACGCTTCACTAAGCCTTTTGAGAGCGTCTTTACTACAGGTCAGTCAGTCCCCGGGTACGAGGCTGGTGAGTTCCGAATTTAAGGTCCGGGCTTGGGATCCCCGACTCCCTAACACTGGCAAGGCAGTGAGGGCGCAGGTTTGGGTCCTGCCG